AAATGGCAATGTCAAAATGAGAGCCCAAACAGCTGATAAAAAAAAGCATTATGATAATCCACTCAACTCCTGTCTATCAATTAACATATTATGAAAAGCTGCACATTTGTAAGTTTTATCTTTAAACCATTGCTTCTGGCCAAAATAACATATAATACATAACACTTCCTCTATTGAAGAAGTCCATGCCCTGTTGTCCTCTCACATCAAAATCCACAGACATATTTGTTTTGACTGTTTTTGCTTGTAAACGGTGCTTGATCTGTGCATATGTCTTTCCTGATTCAGAGGAGACAACTTGCTCCACTGGAGAAAGCAATATTATGGATAGAGGACTCTGCTGTAAGCAATGGTTTTAAAATGTCTTGATGGATTTGTTTATTACAAACACAGCTTTTAGCTTTACAAGACTGATTGTATTTGTGTGGATTACTTGAGGTTTATTGTGATATTTTTATCAGCTGCTTGGACTCCCATTCTGACGGCACCCATTCACTGCAGAGCATTGATCTCAACCTCAATTCCTGGAGGGCCACAGCTCTGCAGTTTAGCTTCAACCAGCTCCAAATCACACCTGCTTGGAAGTTTCTAGTGATCCCGAAGACCTTGTTTAGCTGGATCAGGTGTGTTTGATTAGGGTTGGAGCTAAACTGCGCAGAGCTGTGGTCCTCCAGGAATTGAGCTTGAGACCAATGCTGCAGAGGATCCATTGGTGAGCAAGTGATGTAATGCTAAATTTCTCCAAATCTGTTTCGATGAAGAAAAACTAATCTACATCTTGGATGGCCTGAGGGTGATTACATTTTCAGTTCATTTTCATTTTCCTGTGAAATATTATTTTAATGTCTAACATAGTACCTTAAGTAAACAGATCATTAAAGAGGAAACATTTTACAATGAAGTTTAAGGGTTAGTTCACCCAAAAATGAAAATGCCCCCATGATTTACTCACCCTCAAGGCATCATAGATGTATATGACTTACTTCTTTCAGATTAATCCAATCAGAGTTTTATTAAAAAATGTCCTGGCTCTTCCATCCTTTATAATGGCTGCGGGTGGGTGTTATTGTTCAACAGTCCAAAAGAAGTCCACTAAAAAGTGCACCCATCCATAATAAAAAGTACCTCACATGGCTCTGGGGGGGGGGGATATCAAAGAAAAATATCTATAAACAGTTTTCTCTAACTTGCGCTAACTGTCGTACGCGCAAGCCGGATGAAGTAGGATGTCGGCGTAGCCTAAGCGCCAGTAAGAATATGCTAGTCTCGCGAGAACCAATGTTTGTTTACAGGAGCAAAGGAAGCAAAGTTTCCTTTCTTTAGTAAAGGAAAACCAGTCTCCTCTTGGCTTATGTTGAAATCCTCCGACATTTTTCTTTACAAATCCTCGTTTTGTAATTCGTGACCAGTGTTTTGTTTTGCTCTCTCCTCTGCGCTTCCGCGTTCGTTACTAATCAAAGCCGCATGCACTACACCAGGGGTTCTCAACCAGGGAGTCACGGCTCATTAGGGGGCCTCAGTGATCCTCCAGGGGAGCCGCGAGATAGCTTAAAATTTATTTAAATATTATCCTATAATTGCTTAATTTCATTATTAATGTGTTAAATTAAAATGATCAAAGCAAGGCCTCTCGTGCTCTATGATTGATTGCTTGGGACTCGGCGCAGAAAGCCTCATTGCACTGTTAAATACAGACTGAATGGTGGCTCAAAACTTCCAACCGCTGCACGTAAACTACATCTCTCGGCTGCATGAAGCAAACCGTTGCGCTAATGTAAAGGTAAAGACGATTAGAGTAATAATAACGAACTTGCGCGTGCCTAATGTATGACACTCCTCAAAGTCAAATATCAAAGTCGTAGGCTACATTAGGAACGCATAAGTTCGCTATTGATTCACACACTATGCACACTCTCGGGGCTCTGATCCCTATTGTATTTTTGCGTGAAATTTCAATATATTTGCATAGTTGTCCAAATTAATGTCCTGTGAGTGTTTTATAATGGATGCTCACCCATAGAGGAGGATCTTGTGAGGCTGAGTGGTTTTTATGCACATATGAGCAACCGACGCGCTCTGACGGAGGAACTGTTTACTGATCCCGTCTTCGTCGAACCACCACCTTCAGATGCGTTTCAACAGATTTAGAATGTATTTGCTGTATTTTTCATTTGTATGGTTATTTTTTTAATGGATACAAACAGTAGATATTCAGTCAGTCCAGTTCAAAGAGACCGGTTTAGTGAGTGGTCTTTTGGCATCTCCCTGTTGTCCTGTTTGGTATGGCAGGTTCACTTATTTAAGAAAAAGTACTCTGAAGTTGTAAAGAATGTCTGAAGTAAAGAATTCAGGAGCTTTAAATCTGTATATGTATATATATATATATATATATGTATATATATATATATATACATACATATATATTATTTTAAAAAGTTTGAATTGAACAGAGGGTTTTCTTTTAAGTTATAATGTATAGCTTTGATTTAAAGTGTGTTTGAATTTTGAGTTTTTTTTAATAACATGCAGTAGAAGAATAATTAGGCAAAACAAATGTTTTGGTTAATAAAAAAGGTTTAAAAATAAACACTTTTCTCTTTGCTGCGGAAGTACAATATAGGAGGAAATGTCAGGCATAGGGGGGCCTTGCAAAATTGACCAGAGAAGGAGGGGGGCCCCGGAGTAAAAAAGGTTGAGAACACCTGCACTACGCCGACGCCCTACATCATCCACTGGAAAGGCACTCTCTCGTGAACGCGCGTACGACAGTTAGCAGAAGCTAGAGAAAACAGTTTATAACATTTTAAATATGGATATTTTTCTTAGACAAATGCATGGATTCGCTACAGGAGGCCTTTATTCATCCTCCAGAGCCGTGTGAGGCACTTTTTTACTATGGATGGATGCACTTTATTGGACTTCTTTTGGACTGTTGAACAATAAAACCCACCACTATTATAACGCTTGGAAGAGTCAGGACATTTTTTATTATAACTCCAATTGGATTCATCTGAAAGAAGAAAATCATATAAACCTAGGATGCCTTGAGGGTGAGTAAATCATGGGCTAATTTTAGGGTGAACTAACCCTTTAACTAAAAAAAACTCAACAAATGGCAAACACCTCAATTTTGAAGAACTATTTTTACATTTTCCAAAATTAAAAAAATAAAATAAAATACTCGCCTGTGTTTTTGGATGCTTAAAATTTAACTGAAATTCAATTTGGAAAAAAAAATGTGTCTTGCTTAAAAAAAAGAAAAAAAAGGTAAATAGTACACAAACTGTGTGGGTTAGGCGGTTTAGAAAATGCCACTAATTAAAGTCAACATTTTTTTATTTCATTTAGGTATATAAATATATGTTAAAAGTGTTATATCCAAAAACATTTCAGATCACCTCAATCCCCACAACCGATGCCTTGGCCTTGTGTGACGCCATATATCTTAGTTGCTAGCAGGTGTGGACCTTAGGTAAAGTACTGTTAGTTTTTATGTTCAGTGAGTGTGAGAAACACACAGCAGGAGACTCTGAGCTGAGTCAGACCCCTTGCGTTCACCCTGCTGAGTGTGGAAGCAAACCCAAGGTATCCTGCCTGCATTTCACTGTCCTCAGAAACAGCACTCTAGACATCCGTTTACATCAAACTAACAGACTCTGACAAGCCGTAAAGACGAACTCTGATTTAAAGATCGATTTACCTGCAGGGCCACCCGTTTGAGTCGTTCATCATCCAGCTCTTTTCGGAGTTCATTGAGCTCTCTCCTACAAAGTTATGAAAGAAGTTACAGAATTACGGAAATCAACCTTTATGTCAAAAGTGATTTCTAAATACTTTATCTACAATGTGGAAACATCTTTTGTGCATTATATTTTATAGACATAACTCGACCAGTACAGAATACCAAAAACCAAGTAGCATGAAACAAAATGATCACTTACGACTGTTGTGTCTTCAGTAACTCTATAGACAGTACTAGCTCCTTCATCTGAGCCTTCAGTTCCTCAAGTTCAGATCCTTTCTCCTCTTCCTTGTCAAGTTTTGGTTTGAGCTCAGGGGTGATATGGGTTGCTGAAATGGTTTTAGGCACCATAGATGGTAAGGGTGATGAGACAGACATCTGCAAGAAAAGCAAAATCCAGCGTATCAATTAGTATGAAAAATACTCAATGCCATGTCTTTAGCAAACAATACAAATGTTAGGTTATGGAAATACTCTTATCTTTTATAAACTTAAGTATTTCCGAACTAGTTCCCTGATAGTCTGTTTTACAAGGATGACCTTGAACCAATCTCTAAAACGTTTCCAGCTGAGACACTGAGGTCATGTTCCTAATTGCTGAAAACTTCTGCTTAGTAATCAAATATTTCTCAGGCTAAAAATGTGAAATATTAATAAACCACTGGTAAAAAGGTCACACAAACTCAGGAGGTGGTCTGAGTTCATTTGTCCACAGAGTGATTCACTTATTATAGTATGCTTTCTTCTCTTTATTTCTTAAAAGAGTGACCTTCAGCTTTGAGCTTTAGGTTAAGCTTTCACATAAGCTTAACCTAAAGAACACTACATAATAAAATAAGTCCTCAGGACTGAAGTCTCATTTAAAAAGAAGAGCCAGACAGTCAGTCGAGATCATATCAGAGATGCTGTTTACCTCACAAACCCTTGAGAATATAATTTCATGGGATGTATTTTCAAGCAGTCACAGTTAATCAGACAGGCATCTTGGGGAATTAAACCTTTTACATATTCTTTCGGTTAGCTATTTAATTACTCTAATTAGATATTGCAGAAAGCCCTCAAGATTCTTGCATTAAGGGATAGGTTCACCCAAAATGTTTAATTCATCATTAAAAGTTATTTAAGTCACCCTTTCTTTGCCCTTTTTTAATAAACTTGTATATAAATCACAGTATCTTCTTTTTTGAATGTGAATTGTTTGCTATATATTTGAGGTACCTTAAACGAATTTTGTGTGGAAGGTGCAACGTCATCCACTTTCTCGATTTTCTCAGCTTTCTCACCGGTCTCCTTGCTCGGCTGCAAGACGTTATAGAGCATGTTATTCAAAAACATGGGAAGAGAAAAGCACAAATAGCACTATACTTCACACACATCCCATCTGGGGTGTCATTGGTAAGGCCTTTTTTGATCCAGACAAAAACACTACCTGATAGCCTTATTATGCCCCCCTACACATAAGAAAATTTGTCTCCATCAAAATACATGTAATAGATTTATTACAAATATATATATTAAAAATAAATGTTAGTGCTTGGCACAAAGAGATTTAGCAGATCCTGGTTTGCTTATCCTGCAGAGCTATGATTATAGGAGCATCTGTGATTTCACACACGACAGTATGTAAACTCAAAAAATACTAACACAAAGAATAACACAACAATATTGTAAAGCAAAAACTTGAACATTTCTTTATTGAAAATTATAAAACAATTATTAAGCTGATTGGCGCATATAGAGAATGTCACCTAATGTTTTATTATTAATATACTATAATCTTTATGAAATTTGATGCATTTTCTTCTAGGTGAAAGTATTTAATTCTTTGTTTTTTATTTTAGTTTTTGAATATTAATGAAAATTGGTGCAATATCTCCAGGTGGAAGGATGGCACTTAATGAATGTGCAAAATTAATGCTTTGATAAAATTTTATTTTAATTAAAATTTGCTAACAAAAAAAAATACATTTTTATGTTATTACCTCAGATATTTTCATTAGTCTTTTAGCATTAAACTGAGAGATCAGAGCCCAAGGGAACTAAGCACAAGTGCGTTTTATACTCACGGAGTGGCCTCTGTGTCCAGGCAGTCTTTTGCCAGGCATCTTTGGTCGCTGTGTGGTAGGGTGGTTTAACTTCTCCGAGGCAGAGGAGACATCGTCAAAACTCATGAGATTAACTACAGGAATAAGACACAAAGAAGACTCAATCATAAGAACAGCCTTCAGTCACACAGTCAAACAAGACCTATCTCAGCTGAATTATAATTTAGAAGTTGTATATGAGCCAAAAAATTAATTTGGAGTTACATAAGTCAATTTAAAAGTCATATGTGGTAATAAAGTAAGTTTGTCTAGATCAAAACCCAACAGTGCAGGACATTACAATTCATTACTGAATGATGATGGTTATACAAAGATTGTGCCAAAGTTTGAAAAATTTCCAATCAATCATCCTGGTATGGTTGTCAGTTTGATATCTTAAGAACTGGCACTAAAAATCCACCTGACAAGACTTTAATATGCCCGCCATTACCTACCTAACAATTTTAACCCATTAGTCACCCTTTGAATGATATCTTAGAGATTGGACACACAAAAAAAACAAGAACCACATGCTCTTGTAAATACTATAAAAAGCAGTGACTATATACAAAAGATTTCCATGAAGTGAAAAATGGCTCATGCTTTCCCATATCCTGAAGTGGCAAAACTGAACTTGATGTTCCCATTCAGTCAGTCACGTTCAACGTTACGTCAGTGACTGACGAATTGGGATCTCGCCCGAGAGCCCAATCACCTTCGAGTGTTAACTAAACAAGCCAATGACAGTTGGCGTGCGTGTTTCGCCACGCGCACCCCGCCCCGCAGCGCGGATATAAAAGGAGAGCGCGTGCAAACGCACATCAGCTTTTCGCTTCGGAGCCGAGCCTTCTTCAAGACGAATCTCCGCGAGTGTTCGAGAGAAACAGCTGGCGTTGGTGTGACGGCGTATCAGCGGGGGTTGCCATTCAGGCTGCTGAAATCTCGGCGGGCTGCAGCTTTCATTCTGTGGTCTTGCCGCGACCTCCCCTGGGCGCTTCAGCGCTCTCTCTAAAAGAGTGTTTCCAAAAATTCTAAAAGAGCTATTTCTAAAAGAGCTTCACGAGCGACGGGCGTCTTTTTAAAGATGGCTTCCCGCTCGTGCGTTTCTGGATGCGGTCGTTTCCTGCCTTCATCTGACGGTCATGATCACTGCCTCTCGTGCTTGGGCTTACAGCACGATTGGGCTCTCGGGCGAGATCCCAATTCGTCAGTCACTGACGTAACGTCTCCGTTCCCTCCTTCAGGGAACGAGGGTTACACAAGTAACCTAGACGTTTTTCTCCTTCTGATAGTGTCTAAAAGGAATCCAGACGCCTGCTGCAGTGACATGCTCATGATCTTTCGAGACAATGTGATTATAGCAGCTTTGGTGCCATTTTGTCAACCTTTGAGACTGAAGCAACATCCTGGTGTTTGTGTCCACAAACAGAGGATCTACTCAAACAGCATACTTTTTTTTTTCAAGAATTCTTGTTTTCTGTTTTTTCTTTTCATCGGTTAGATTTTTTCTAAGCAAATACTTAATTCGTGGCCATAATGTAGTCCTAGCATAAAAGAGAACTAGCCTATTATAAATTTGTTGGCCGTGCTTGTCTGCATGTCATGATCGGGGCTCCGTACAACCGAATATAACCTTAGCCTACCTGTTTATTCATTTATTATGGTATGTTACTAGCTCACCTTTTGCGGCACCATGTTTGCGTAGCACATCCTCGTGCTTTCTGGCAATGTGCCGCTTCAGATTCCAATATTAATCTTTACTAACTCTCCCAGCACTCCCTCTCAGTTTCTTCTCCCTGCTCATTCTTAACTTAGATTTTTTACTTTACATTTATGTATAAGGCTTGCAACTTTGTTGAAACAATATCTGAACTCCATAACTGCTCTACTATTCTCGATCTCGAACAAGCAAATCACCAAACGGCATTCTGGGTTGAGCGAGCAGCACTGAGCGTTTTGAGCGAAAGGCGCTCTGCGCTCTTAAGGAAATATTACCACTCCGCTCCGCTCACATGCTCTGATCCAAGGTGAACATCCTCCATTGTGCTTGTCAGTGCATGTATTTAACATGTAAACATGCTTTTATCTGTCACAGTATTAACAAGTAATGCATAAGAACTAATTTAACACAAACAGTCAGACCTAAGTGAAACTTGTTATCAGAACAAACTTGAGCTGATAGATTAGTTGCACCAATTTATCAGCCAATTTGAACTACATTTCAGTGATTTCAATTTTGCATCAAATGTCTAAAATATGTATAAGAAAAAAAACTGACATCTTTAAAAGTCAAAAAGATTTTTTTGAGATCGCAGATAATTACTAAGGGTCCAATTCAGATTTGAGTAATTTGCACTTTTCAATTGAGGTTTTAATCAAAGAAACCTTTGGATATAACTTGCCAATGACTTCAGAAGAGATCCTTTTTAAACAATTCCCAAAACAACAACAATGTAAAGATGGCACCCAAGGCAACTACTCGCTTCCTTTATCTTTCACAGGTAATTTTAAAATTTTTAACCAGCTCTACAGATCTGGACCACCACCCTCTGTGCAGGAAGAGTAATCCTGCTCCCAGCAAGTGATCCATGGTGCTAATCCACAAACAGAGCTCTGCTACACCCGAACCACAGCAAAAACCATACTCAGTTGTGAAAACCTGGGCATACAAGAACCAAAACCATTCCAAACACTAGCATTATAGCCTCTGTGCCGGTGGTTAAAATATTAATATAATTGCTAACATGTTTTGTTGTTGCATGTGTAAGTAGTGTGATCAGGGTCTATTTGTTTCCTGCTAAACAGTTCTGAACTTTTTTATGGCTTTGTTGCCACATGATGGTCAATACAAACCAAAATCAGAACAACTTACCTATATCTGAATTCTTCTCACTGCTGTCCACAATGGTTTTTGGCTTAATGGGTACAGGTTCGCTCTCTGGTTTTGTTCGTATAATAGGAACTTCTCCATTTTGCCTGTGGGATTTATGAGGAAAAGTTAGAACAATTGCCTGCAATGTCCACTGTCACACTCTAAATGCAAACAAAGGCTGTTCCAGACAGTAAAAAGAATACTAATAAGAAAGCTATTTTTGATTAAAGATGTAAGGTAACACATATACAGTGTCTTTTGCAGAAAGAAAAAAAGTATTGTATGTATCTCACAATGCATTGCAACAAGCTCAGTGTAGCATTGCCATATTGTATCCAATATGGCAAAAACAGCAATACAATACTGGGAAACATTGATTGTTACATATAAATGTATGTATACATTTAAAATACACATTCAGTACACATAAATATACTATATCTGATTTCATTATTTAACAATATACACATATTTGGTTTTTAAATGAAATTTCAATTTAATCAAATATTGTATTAAAAATTAGTAATATTAAATACCAAATATTTTAACTGTGCTACAAATGTACTATGCTTCTAAAACCTACAAATGTATTACGATAAAGCTTATGACACCAACACTTGCTTGGCGGCTGGTGATGGAGTGAGAGGCAAGTCGGGTCGTTTTGTCTGGATGGAAGGACGCAGCAGTCCCTTGTGAAAATATTAATCTTGAAAATTGACAACAGGGCACAGACTATGCAGATCAAGTGCCATTTAACACGGTCAATACCAGCTGAAGGAAACTTTAAATCGCAATTTACGTGTACAACTGTTATTACAACACTGTGTGACATTATTACACTGCCATTCAAAAGTTTAGGGTTGGTAAGATTTTTTATATTTTTAAAAGAAGTCTCTTTTGCTCACCAAGATTGCATATATTTAATCAAAAATACAGTGAACACCGCTATTAATCTTGAAAATTGACAACAGGGCACAGACTATGCAGATCAAGTGCCATTTAACACGGTCAATACCAGCTGAAGGAAACTTTAAAATCGCAATTTACGTGTACAACTGTTATTACAACACTGTGTGACATTATTACACTGCCATTCAAAAGTTTAGGGTTGGTAAGATTTTTTATATTTTTTAAAAGAAGTCTCTTTTGCTCACCAAGATTGCATATATTTAATCAAAAATACAGTGAACACCGTAATATTGTGAAATATTATTACAACTAAACTGATTTCTATTTAGCAATTTTAACCCATTCGTTTTTATTCCTGTGTTAAATATTTATTCCCGTGATGGTAAAACTGAATTTCCATCAGTCATTACTCCAGTCTTTAGTGTTACATCATCCTTCAGAAATAATTGTAATAAGTCAATTTGATGCTTAATAAACATTTTTATAAACCATTGTGCTGCTGTATGTTTTTGTGTAAGCTATGATACAGTTTTTTAAGTAGTGTTTTATTTTTGCATGAATAGAAAGTTCAAATGAATCAGCTTTTCTTTGAAATAATACTTTCTGAAACATGAATAATGTTTTTATTGTCACTTAAGATCAATTTAATACATCCTTGCTGAATAAAATTATTTATTAAATAACAATAAAAAAATAAATATCAAATAAATTATTAATTAAAAAACAAATCAAATACTAACCCAAACTTTTGAACAGCAGTGTTTAAAATGATAACAATAACAAACTAACAGAAATACATTATTTTTTTAAATAATCCATTCGTTAATCTATAATCTACTTAAAAAATCAATTAAAAAAAATCAACAAAGCTGTCTACATTGTGAGGGTTATGAAGTCAGGCTGTTGCTGTGCACAAAGCTTATGGCTTTAGCAATCTAGTTGCATTGTGACGCAGTGCCTGTCTGTAGTGAAGATTGGGTATAAAAGTGAAATGACAGCATTGCAACAGTTCCTGATTGAAAGCATGTATAAATAAGCAAGAAAGATTCTCTCTTATAAAGGCTCTTAAAAAGTGCTTTGAAAACTAATGAATGAATAAAAATAAATCCACAATCAATTAAATTAACACCATGACGATTTTTTAGGGGTATGCTAAAAGTGGACTCCATCCTTAACTATTAATAGGTTGTTAACAGATACTATTTATTTCATATTATCCAATGAAGAACTACACTTGTACACATCAATTTCTGCTTTTTCATTTTTTATGACATTCATTCTTCCTGACACCATTAAAGCTAAATAGAAAAATGTCACAATCATGACAGGCCTGTAGCACCACAGTTGGCAAGAAGAATTTGTGGTATAACAGGAACCGGGCAGCGGGCCCTCTCTTACCTTTATCTTCAGGTCGTGGCTGCGGTTGTTTCTTGTCCGCACTGGGGGCCTCTGGTTTCAGGACTGAGAAATGAAGCATATTGACTGAGTTAATATGTTTTTTTAGATACTACACTGAAGATAGAGCAGCTCTGGACATGGTAGATAAAAGAACAATGTGACTCCTGAGACAGATGTTTAAAGAGAATAGGAAACATACAGTCAATGACTTGCATTTCCTGTGTGGGTTGGAGAGACAGAGCAAATCTTTGCAACCCTCTATGCAAGCTTTCTATAAAGCAATTGGGATGATGCGGTGCCCTTTGATGTATAACAACATCCGCCTTTTTTTTTTGCATGTTTTGCAGACAAAAGCTGAGGGACTGACAACTTCAGCTGCATTATCAGACTTTACATCTGCATCTATTAATATCCCCTTACGTTATTTGATCATACATGTTTGGATATCTTACTAACCTTAAAATTTCATTGATATCTTCAGCAATTTATTGAATGTAAATATGCCGAAATAAAAAAAAGCAATGTTACATAGCTGGTTAGCAAATTAACCAAAATAAAATTATAATGCTATTTTCCAGCAAGTGTGTTTATGAATTTATAGCTGCCATGGAGTTATATTACAGCTGTATTATATTATATTTTGTGTCAAATAAAATAAAACATAAAATTATATTAAACAATTATTCAAATAAACAAACAATTAAATAAAGCAACTTTTTAAAAACTAAATGAAAATAAATGAATATATAACATGTTGCACAGAACATCATTTTTTATGGGATCAGTAAAAATATAATAAAACAAAATAATTATTCTAAATGAATGAATAAAAAAAAAAGATCATTGCTGCAGTTTAAGCTAAAAATAGATCAAGAACTATGAAAGAAGTGTCCAAATTCTTCAATACGCCACCACTGATGTGTGGCAGACATGGGCTGTGTTCAGTGCAATAATTGAATATGCCAGTTTAGCTGGCATCACCTCTAATCTTCTCAGCATACACCAGCAAGCTTCTCTGAAAACCACAGGGGAAGCAGCTCAAATCAATAGCACCAGCAATTATTCACTCACATACTGATGCAGACATATGTTCCCTTCAAGTATCACTATTAAGCACCATCAAATCATGTCAGCTGCCTGTGGCTAATAATAGCAGCTTTTTGCTGGCAGGCAAGTGAAAGATATTTGATGACAATGAGCTTTAAAGGGATATTTCACCAAAATATGTAAATTCTGTCATCTAACCAAATAGCCAACCAAACAGTTGCTGGTCTCCACTGACTTCCATAGTATTTGGGGTATGGTCAATGGAGACCAGACATTGTTTGGTTATTCACATTCTTCAAAATGTCGTCTTCTTTGTTCAACGGAAGAAAGAAACTAATACAGGTTTGAAACAACCTAAATGAGAGCTTATGATGACAATTTTAATTTTCCGATAAACAACCGCCTTAAATTGATCACGGGGCTCTTATTACATATGATTGCTAGAGAGTCATTGAGCATAACCTCAGCAGCCAGAATGCGTATGATGACACTTTTGTTCCTTAGCGGCCTCATAGCAGCTTAAAATGAAAGAGAAGAGTAATGTAATGTAATCAAATTTGTGCAATCAATGAGATGTGAAATGGTATGTTAAAGATATTATACCTGGGGTTTTGGATGGTGGTGGGGGCTTCTTTGGCTTCTGTGGAGAAACAACAATAATAAATAAATAAACCTGCCATTTAAAATCAAATTTAAACCTAGAAATAAATATTTTAGGTCTGTTAAAATTGGGGGAAAATTATATATTGACATTAAATAAAATCAATTGAACAATGCGCTGCATTATTTCTAAGTAAGCAAATATGTGTCGGATCATTCTCAAATCTTGCTGAAGAACACAATCGTCAGATTTTACGCTACTGTCAGCATGAAATGAAATTTCACCCCATTTCTTAATAGAACATTTTCTAAAAGGATTATATAAACTTTAATAGACCTTATTTTAAATAATTCAATTGAAATCAACAACCGATACATAGAACCCAACATTTTTTATTTTTCCATAATCCATTACACATTTCATGCATCTTTTTTCATTAAACCTTTTTCAGATTGTTATTCTGATAATAAACTGCAAATGCCAAAAAAAAACAAAAACATTAAATTAGAAAAAAAAGGGGGGAGGGGATCTTCACCTCACAGGTCAGGCTCCCATAATCCCTTGAGGCTGAATAACAACTAATACAAGTTTCTAAAGAGCTCAAATCGGAACTAAAACAGATGAAACTGCTGAGGTTGGAAATCCCCTAGCCTCCCCTTTGATGGCTCTGGAAGATTTGAGAACTCTTGCAACATATAAATGAATCGCTGCACTGATTACCAGAACAAATCATCTCACATATAATCACAGCAGGAGAGAGTTCAAACAATAATATAGGCCTAGATCAACATATGCAACTGACATAGATATGCATCATTTATGTACATACATGACTTCTTTCATGTAAAGTGTGAGTCTTTTATGTAAATAATTCCAGCATTCACTGAATTGCCCATTTTCCAAAAATAAATTTTCCATTGTTCCCAATAGGACCAAGAACGCGTATCAAGTAAGTAAACAGAACTGAATTTGATTTCATGTTGACATTAAATTAAATGTTTTAGCTCACAAATTCAGATTTTCCTTTCTCCTATTAACAGATTAACAGATGATCATGCCACTATGTACTGGACTTAAGTGTGAGTAGGTTTATGAATATCATCATGAGGGAGAAGACAATCTTAATGGATATCTGTTTTATAAGCATATAGAGAGAGACTCCAGCAGCTACATTGTGGCTTATTTTCTTTTTAGTATAAGTAAAAGTATTTCTTTCTAGTATAGTTGTTGCTGCAGGGGCAAGAAGTGGCGTTCCAATTATTATACATTTAGAGAGAAAATGAGCAAGAACTGTTAAAATAAAAAACAAAAAATAGCCACGCAATTTGGAACTAAATAACTGTCAAGTCCTGCTCCTTTCACAGTTAAAAGATTCAGATCATCAAACTAATTTTAATATTACACAAAGATAATGCAAGTAAATACAAAATGCAGTTTTTAAATGAGGATTTCATTTATTAAGGGAAAAAAGCTGTCCAAACCTACCTGACCCTTTGTGAAAAATTTATTAATCCTGTTAAATCATTAAAGAACTGTGATTGACCACATTATTTTAGAAAGCGGAGTTAAATTTCACTAGCCAAACCCAAGCCTGATTATTTCCAGACCTGTTGAATAGAGAAATCACTTAAATAGAACCTGTCTGACAAAGTGAAGCATGCTTAAAAGGGCAATACACCATGCCGCGATCTAAAGAAATTCAAGACCAGATGAGAAACAAAATAGTTGACATGTATCAGTCTGGAAAGGGTTATAAAGCCATTTCTAAGGCTTTGGGACTCCAGTGAACCACGCTCAGAGCCATTATCCACAAATGGAGAAAGCTTGGAACAGTGGTGAACCTTCCCAGGAGTGGCCAGCCTACCAAAATTACTCCAAGAGCGCAACGATGACTCATCCAGGTAAAAAAAAAACCAGAACAACATCTAAAGAACTGCAGGCCTCACTTGCCTCAATTAAGGTCAGTGTTCATGATTCAACAATAAGAAAGAGACTGGGAAAACCATCCATCCATCGCCACGCCATCCATGGGAGAGTTCCCAGGCAAAAGCCATTGCTGACCAAAAAGAACACAAAGACTCATCTCACATTTGCCAAAAAATATCTTGATTATCCCAAAGACTTTTGGGCAAATATTCTGTGGACTCCTTTTTGGAAGGTGTGTGTCCCGTTACATCTGGCGTAAAACCAACACAGCATTTCATAAAAAGAACATCATACCAACAGTCAAACATGGTGGTGGTAGTGTGATGGTCTGGGGCTGCTTTGCAGCTTCAGGACCTAGACGACTTGGCATAATTGATGGCATGAATTCTGCGCTCTATCAGAAAATCCTGAAGGAGAATGTCTGGCCGCCAGTTTGTGACCTCAAGCTCAAGCGCACTTGGGTTATGCAGCAGGACAATGACCCCAAACACACCAGCAAGTCCACCTCTGAATGGCTCAAGAAAACCAACATTAAGGTTTTGGAGTGGCCAAATCAAAGTCTGGACTTAAATACGATTGAGATGATGTAGCATGACCTTAAACAGTCCTTTCATGCTCGAAAACCCTCTAATGTTGCTGAATTAAAACAATACTCCAAAGAAGAGTGGGCCAAAGTTCCTCCACAGCGATGTGAAAGACTTATTGCCAGTTATCGCAAATGTCTGATTGCAGTTGTTGCTGCAAAGAGTGACACAACCAGTTATCAGATTTAGGGGGCAATTACTTTTACACGTAGTGCCAGGCAGGTTTGGACAGCTTTTTTCCCTTAATAAATGAAATCATCATTTCAAAACTGCATTTTGTATTTATGCAGTTTTGAAACTGTATAAACCGTATGAAACTGAGCACAACTGTATATACATACACATTTACAGGTACATCTCAAAAAATTTTAATATCAGGCCAAAAAAAGGCCAATATTCTTTTTCACTTTTTCAGATCTCCAGACAGCTCAAATAACCGCAGTTCACAATTTAGAAGAAATTAGACTAAGACAGTCTGTAACCAACACTATCTATGAAGAATTGTGTTTGGGGCCACAGAGAGGCAAAACAATTTCCTCTCCTTCAACATCAGAGACATACCTGGAAATCAAGGGCTGACGGGTTAATATTCAATCACTCATGGCACACAGTGAAAAACAGTCAAACAGCAGACTGGATCTTTTTGTTCAAATTTAAAATGTAAAAAAAGAAAAAAAAAAGTTTTACAATGATTAAAAAATAAACTTCCAGTTTAACACTGAGGCTGATGTGTTTGTGCTATTTGATCATTTATATATTATTTCGATCACAATATAAATGCATTAATAATAATAACGATAATAATGCCTTCCTGTAAATGCCCTCCTTCCCTTCACATACAGAGATCAATGCCTCATTATCAGACAGGATGCTTACAGGATAAAGGATTGATCATGGGCTCCTTGGAGTCGGTTGGAGGAATGAACACTTTCACATTTTCATGAACTGCTCGCTGACCTCCACAACCCATCACATGAGCTTCAGCTCATCACATTCTCACTGCAGCAGCACAAAGACCAATTCACCAATAAAGTTGAAAATGAACAGATTAAAGAAAAAAAAAGAAAAAGAAAAAACACTTGTGCCCAAAGCATATCAACCCATAAACTGATTCAGTGTACGGGTATGAGGCTTCACAGAATTTTCCTGGAAAATAGAGGTGGCAGAGCATAACTTTTGCCTGAACAAGCCCTCTGTTTGTTCTCTAGACATGGTAGCTGGTGCTTTGAACAAATAATCTGCTTCTCACAATAAAAAGGGCCTGTTGTTCCAGAGTTTTCCAAAATGTGATTAAACATGCACCCTCAGGGTAAACCTGAAGACCCCAAAGCTAGAATGAAGCCATGTTTGTAAAACATATGGTGATAAGTGGCAATTATTGATTTAAACGCTTCTTTCAAGCTCAAATTCCCAACAATGAACCAAAAAATAAATAAAATAAATAAATGGTAACCTGATATTGTCTGGAGTGTTGTTGACTTTGGTCCATAAAAGTCTTTGATTAAAATGTTTAGTAAAGAGCTTTCACTGAGAAGCAGGGCTGGGAGACAGAGCTAAAAAATACTGAGACACAATTGACAATTTGTTTCTCATGATCTTAAAATCTTTTGATCTAGCTTTTGATGACTTTATTATAGTAAACACAAACAATGAGAAGGTGTGCCCAACTTTTCAATGCTAGTGTATATGTTGTAATGTATGCATTTATCTATAAAAACATTCGTCTTAAAATTCTCAAAAATAATTAAAACATGGAAAGAATTCAAAAATAGTTATATATATATATATATATATATATATATTTTTTTTT